ACAGCAATATCACATTTCTTGCAGATTTCCAACAGCTGTGAGCGCACCTCTCGAGCATATATAAGATTTCGGTGATTGAGAAAGTGTTCCATACACCATCTTTTCTTATTGGACGGGCCAACGTTCGTATATTCGCGGAAAATATTCAACAAAGTGATGTGATCACCATACGGAGAACAAAATTTTTGTCGGGCATTCTGTGCGTCGATTTTTCGATGTGGCGGATTGTGGAAAATTGATTCTCCACTCAGAACCGCAACAATCGTCAGAGCTTCTTCAACACAACCGTAAGTACTAGCAGATAATAAAATCTTACTAAATCGAGGATCCAGAGGAAATTTCGACATTTGCTTCCCGAGTGGTGTGAGTTTTGTCATATCTTTACTTCCTACAGCTCCAAGAAGCTTCAATTGTTCGAAAGCAGAAACGATTGAATCTTTAGGCGGTTTGTCCATGAAATCAAACTGCCCAGCATGAATTCCTAGTGATAGAAGTTGTAAAGTGACAATGTTTAAATTTGCGCGTTGAATTTCAGGACGAGATGATTTCGGCATCATGTCAAATTGTTCTTTTGTGAAAATACGATAACAATAACCCTCGGATTCACGACCTGCACGTCCGGCACGTTGCCATGCTTGGTCTTGTGATATTCTTTGCACTTTGAGAAGGTCTAGACCAGTTATTGGATTATATATCCTTTTAAAAGCAAGAAAAAGCATTTTTAAATACTTTATAAAGTTAATTTACAAAAAATATAAATTACCTAGCTTTTACCATCCCAGCATCAATAACATACTTCACTCCACTGATAGTTACACTCGTCTCAGCAATATTTGTACTGATGATCACTTTGCGTGTCCTTTCTGGTGCATAATTGAATACCTGCATTTGCATTGTTCCTGTTTGTGCGGCGTACAATGTAAATACTCTGATTGCAGGTCCTTCTACGTCGGGATCTTTGGCCAATTGCCGAATTTGATGTGCGACTGTTTCAATTTCTTCTTGTCCAGTTAAAAATATCAGAACATCATGGCTGTAATTATTAAAAATACAATTTATTAATGCATATTTTATGCAAATTGCAAATACTCACTTGGCTGGTGCTTCTTGGTGTATTTTAAAAATGTGGCAACTGTTGCTGTTTGATAATCTTCGTGTTTTTTCTTTGTGTAGAACACTTCAACTGGAAATGTTCTTCCCTCAAGGTATAGTGCTTTGCAATTGTTGAAGTATTTGGAAAAGTGGTCTACATCCATTGTTGCAGACATCAAGATCACCTAAAATTAATGTTTTTACAAATTTTACATGTTTTATAAGTTTATTATACCTTACTTTAAGTGGTGCCAGTTTTTTTCCTTCCTAAATCTTTGTGCTTCCTTAACAATACCAAAAAGAACATCAGTGTGTATAGTTCTTTCATGAGCTTCATCCAACATGATAACATTGTAGTCTTGTAACAATCTATCAGCAACAGCCTCCCTCAATAACATACCATCAGTCAAATACTTAATGACAGTCCTGTTGGATGTTGT